TAGTTCAGTTACCCTCCACCGTTTTGCCTAGAGGCTATAGTTTCAGTTACTTGAAGAGCCTTGGTTACTCAGTTGAACGGAAAACTTTCTCAGGTGTTCAGAGTAAGGGGATTTCCCAAGGTGGGGCAGATGCTGTTTGTTAATTAGCCTCAATTTGCATTTCAATGGCCCACTTGGGTAGGTTTCAGTCTTCAAGGGAGGGGCCACTGCCTTTCCCCAGAGCTCTGGGAAGGAGTAAGATGACCACCATCCTGTGTTTCCGCAACTCAGCAAAAGCTCTGAGCACTGTCCAAATCCCAAGTATCCCCAAACAGTTCCAGTCCAGTCCACCCTCCTTCTACCAGAACCGAAGGTGAGTGGCTGTGGCTAATTTAGCACTCTGCCATGGTCCTCTGCACTGTGGAGTTGACTTGGGATTTTAACCCTGAAGGCGGTGCTTACAGCTAAGATTGCTGCTGTCTGTGAGCTCCCAGCCTTCCTCTTGCGCCTCTGCAATCCTACCAGGATTGATTCAGTGTTCCTGGTGTAGCTTCCATTCACTCCACCACCATTTTGGAATCCCTGAAGGTTGCTTTTATTTACATCCTCACCACCACTTGTTATTTGTTGATTTATTTACAGCCATTCTGACAGGTGTGAGGTGATATCTCATTGTGGTTTTAATTCACATTTCTCTGATGATTAGTGACATTGAGCATCTTTTCATTTGTCTGTTGGTAATCTGTACATCCTCTTTGTAGAAATATCTATTCAGGTCTTCTGCTCATTTTTAAATTGGATTGTTTGCTTTTTTTGTGTTGAGTTTGAGTTCTTTATAAATTTTGGATATTAACACCTCTATCAGATTCATTGACAAATATCAACACCCATTCAGTAGGTTGTCTTTTAGTTCTGTTGATGGTTTCTTTTATTCTGAAAAACTTTTTATTTTGAAGTAGTCCCATTTGCTTATATTTTCTTTTGTTTTCCTTTTCTGAGAAGATATATCAGAAAAAAAATGTTACTAAGAGTAATGTCAGAGTTTAATGCCCATGTAAATTTTATAGTTTCTGGTCTCACATTTAAATCTTTCATCTATTTTGGGTTTATTATTGTATGTGATATAACAAGGTGGTCTAGTTTTATTTTTTGCATGTATCTATTCAATTTGCCCAATATCATTTATTAAATAGACTGGCTTTACTCCATTGTATGTTCTTGCTTCCTTTGTCATGAATTAATTAACCATATAGGTGTGAGTTTATGTCTGGGCTTTCTATTCTGTTTCATTGATCTATGTGTCTGTTTTATGTCAGTACCATGCTGTTTCAATTCCTATAGTTTTCTAGTATAGTTTGATATTAAATAGTGTGATACCTTCAACTTTGTTCTTTATTCCCATGGCTATTTGGGGTCTTTTGTGCTTTTATATAATTTTTAATTACTCTTTTTAGTTTTATTAAAAATCTCATTGGTATTATGATAGAAATTGCATTGAATATAGATAGCTTTGGGTAGCATGGACATTTTAATGATGTTAAGTCTTTTAATCTTTCATTTATTTGTGACTTTCAATTTCTTTTTTAATTGTCTTAAAATTTTTCTACTACAGGTCTTTTGTCTTTTATATCCTTGGTTAAATTTATTTGTAGGTATTTTTTTGATACAATTATAAATAGTTTATTTTCTTACTTTCTCTTTCTGACAGGTTGGTGTATGGAAATATAACCAATTTCTGAATTTTAAATTTGATCTTGTTACTTTACTGAATTCATTTATTAGTTCTAATAATTTTTTTGGTGGAATCTTTAGAGTTATATATATACCGTATCATGTCATTTGCAAATAATGACAGTTTTACTTCTTCCTTCCCAATTTGGATGCCTTGTATTTCTTTTTCTTGTCCACTTGCTATGGCTAAGACATTCAATACTTTGTTGAATAAAATTGTTGAAAGTGGACAACCTTGTCTTGTTCCTAATGTTAAGGAAAACACTTGTTTAGATTTTTCCCATTGAGTATGATGTCATCTGTTATTTTGTCATATATGGCCTTTATTATGTTGAGATATGTTTCCTCTATTCCCACTTTATCATAACTGTATGCTGGATTGTGTCAAATGCTTTTTCTATATCTATTGATATGATCATGTAATTTTTATCCTTTATTTTGTTTATGTGGTTTATCACCTTAATTGGTTTGCAGATATTTAATTAACCTTGCATCCCAAGTATAAATCCCACTTGTTCATGGTATATGATCTGTTTAATGTATTGCTGAATTCTATTTGCTAATATTATGTTGAAGATTTGTGCATGTATGTTCATTAGGGATATTGGCTTATAATTTTCTTTCTTTGTAGTGTCTTTGTCTGGTTTTGAAATCAGAGTAATGCTGGCCTCATAAAATGTGCTTGGGAGCCTTCCTTCTCTTGAATTTGTTGGAATATTTTGAGAAGGATGGGTGTTAATTCCTCTTTGGATGTTTGGTAAAATTCATCTGTGAAGCCATCCAGCCCAGGACTTTTTTATGTTGGGAGTTTTTTTATTACTGATTTGATTTGATTTTTAGTGATCAGTCTGTTCAGAGTTTCTGTTTCTTCTGGATTTCAGTATTTGAAAATTGTATATTTCTAGGAATTCATCTATTTCTTACAGGTTATCCAGTATGTTGGAATATAGTTGTCCAAAGTATTTTCTTATAATATTTTGTCAGTTGTCACTTCTTTTTCTGGTTTTATTTATTTGGGTCTTCTCTTTTTGTTTTATTGATGACTCTGGTTAAAAGTTTGTCAATATTGTTTATCTTTTCAAAGAACCAGTTCTTGGTTTCATTGTTTTTTTTTTTGTATTGTTCTTTTTAGACTTCTTTTGTTTATTTCCATTCTGATATTTATTATTTCTTTTTTCTACTCCCATTGGGCTTTGTTTTTCTTGTTCTAGTTCCTTTATGTATAAGATTAGATTGTTTATTTGAGATTATTATTTCTTGAAGTAAGCCTATATTGCTATGAATTTCTCTCTTAAGATTTATTTTTCTGTGTTCCATAGATTTGAGGTCATTGTGCTTTCATTTGTATTTATCTCAAAGTATCTTTTGATTTCATCTTTGATCTCATTGTTAATCCATTCATTGTTTAGTAGCCTGTTATTTAGCCTCCTTGTGCTTTTGTGTTTTTCAGGGTTTTTTTTTTTTTTTTTTTCTATAATTGATTTCTAGTTTCATACCATTGTGAATGGAGAAGATGCTTGATATGATTTCAATATTTTTAACTTTATTGAGATTTGTTTTGTGGCCTAACGTATGGTATATTCTGGAAAATATTCCATGTACACTTGAAAAGAATCTATGTCCTGCTGCTTTGGGGTGAAATGCTCTAAAAATATTGATTAAATTTATCTTTTCTAATGTGTCATTTAAGGCCATTGTTTCCTTGTTGATTTTTTGTCTGGAAGATCTATCAATGGGTATTAAAGTCCCTTGCTATCACTTATTACTGTCGCTCTGTACCTTGATGTCCATCAACATTTGCTCTATATATGTTGGTGCTCTCATATTAAGTGCATAAATGTTTACAAGGGTTAGATCCTCTTGTTGGATTCTTTATCATCATGTAACATCCTTTTTTTGTCTCTTATTATAGTCCCTTTTTTACAACTATTTTTCATTTCTATTTACATGAAATATCTTTTTTTCAGCCCTTTACTTTAAGTCTCTATGTGTCTTTTAGTCCAAAATGGGTCTCTTGAAAACAGCATAGGTATGGATCTTGTTTTCTTATTGATCCAGTTACCTTTTATCTTTTGATTAGAGCACTTAATTTACATTTAAAATGATTATTAATAGGTATGTAGGTATTGTCATTTTATTATTCATATTTATGTTCCTTTTTTTCTTCTTTTATTTATCAATTTTAATTAATTTATTTTTGTTACAGATGTTTCTCTGTTTTTCCTGTCCCCCTACTCCCAGCATTGTTGTCTATGTCCATTGGTTAGGCATACATGCGTGCAAGTTCTTTGGTTTATCTCATCCATCCCATCCCCCGCCCCCACCACTCCCCTCCTCTGAAGTTTGTCAGTCTGAACCATACTCCTTTCTATGTCTCTGGGTCTATTTTGTTCATCAGCTTATTTTGTTCATTTTATTCCACAAATAAGTGAGATCATGTGGTATTTACCTTTCTTTGATTGGCTTATTTTGCTTAGCAAAATGCTCTCTAGTTCCCTCCATGTCAAAGGACAAGAGATCTCTTTATTTATTTACTTTTTATCTTCACCCAAGGACATTTTTGCATTTATCTTTAGATAGAATGGAAGGGAGAGAGGGAGGATAAAAGAGAGAGAAACATCAATGTGAGAGACGCATCAAGTGGTTGCCACCCACACGACCCCAACTGGGGTGGGCACAAACTGCAACCGAGGTATGTGCCCTTAACAGGAACCAAACCTGGGCCTCTCTGGTCCACGGGCTGATGCTCTAACCACTGAGCAAAACCAGCAGCCAGGGCAAGGTCTGTCTTTCCTACAGCTGCATAGTTCTTCTTCTTAAAAAAGTTCCTTTAATATTTCTTATAACACTGGTTTGGTGGTGATTAACTCCTTTGGCTTTTAAAAGAAACTCATTCCTAGCTGTTCTCTTGCTCCAGGGACATCTGTATCTTAGAAATTTCTTTGCCACATAACTACTTATGCCTCCCATAGAAAGAAAGGACTTTTGAGTAGTCAAGTAATAGGAAAAAATGTTGCTATTTGTGATAAATTTGGTCCAAATCAGATGATGATAAACATGCACACAGTGCTTTCACAACTTACCAATTCATCCATTACTATTTCAATGAGGAGTTCCTATAGACCAGGCAGTGTAAAATGAAAGATGAATACAGAGCTAATGGTATGACTTGCAAAGTGAAGTCACATGTGTAGCATGATTTTTCCCCCTTATTTAAGTAGAATATCCCAACTTAATTTTTTGGTTTGTTTGTTTTTATTGTCTTTTGATGGTTTTGTTTTGTTTTTCAGATCATACTTAGACATGTCCAAAGTGATCATCTTCAGCTACCTCTTCTGGTTTGTCCTCACAATTATCTTCATCACCGGGACAACAAGGATCAGCATCTTTTGCATGGGTTACTTGGTGGCCTGCTTCTATTTCCTGCTCTTTGGGGGTGATTTGCTATTGAAACCGATAAAGAGCATACTGCATTATTGGGACTGGCTGATTGCATACAACGTTTTTGTGATTACGATGAAAAACATACTGTCAGTAAGTGGCTCCCACTGTGTAACACATTTGTGGTTTCTGTGTAAGAGTAAACGGTCTATTCAGTGGTTATTAAAAACCCATTGCCTATCATACTACTCTCTTAAAAGCCCCAAATAAGGTACTGCAAATTCAGAATTCAAGTGACCATTTATTACTCTTTAGTTTGCCATATTAAACAAAATACTTTTTTGCTTATTTCCACCATCTCAAGGTCACATGATGAGAGAATATGTATTCATAGGAATAAATTCTAAAACATATTTTATTAAGTAAAATCCTATCTCTTCTGAGGACTAATTTATCATCACTCTTACTATACTACAAAATGGCCCTTTAAAGTCATATCATGTTGGCTAAAAGCAACTCTCTTAGAAAGAGTTATAGAAGTATTAAATAAAATGAGCATAGTTCTCTATAACACTGTGTGGGGTGGGGGATGAAATGGAATAGGCTATTAAAAGCATGAATGTTTTATGTACACATGAGATGTGGGTAGACACAGAGGCAATCACAGCTTCATGGTTGCCTGTGAACACAGGCATTCTGATAAGGGCCCAACTAAGGCAACAGAGGGTTGAGGCAAACACATCCTCTTTAATCTACAAGGTTTGGCTACTTTGCTCTTAAAGTTTCATGTTCCAGAGCACAGCTTTCCCCCGACCTAGTTGATAACTCAAACTACCCCCTTGTAATCCCAAAGCCACATGAAATCTTGGAGTCCACAACAACACCAGTTAAGTTATTTGTTATATAATGATATTGAACAACAATCTTTCATGAACTGAAAGAGTTAATACATCTCCAGTTGGCCCTAACTTAAAGTTAATTCTAGTGCCTGCTACTCCCAGGCTATACCTGATAATGCATTAGAAGAACAGTGATGTAATGACTTCCTTCTTCTTCTCTTCCTAACTACTTAAAGATGAGCTCATCAGGCAGGCAATTTAACTCTGAAAGTACTTGATTTTTTTTTGAGAGGTGTGGAGGATACATCCATTGCTGTGTTTAGAGGTCTTGGAAAGTCAAGTCTATATAACAGTGAATATGTATTTGAATAACTTATTTTATCTGCAATCCATTGAAATGTTAATTTGCTAGTTGATATTAAAAGTGACTTTTATTTATCAATAAATATCTCACCAACATTTATAAGCATTTAAGGTAGTATGGGAGTTATAGGAGAGAGTATGAGACAGGATAACAGAATATCATTTCATTCTAAAGCCAGTCTGATGGTAAAAGATCCATTACTAGAAGCTGATTCCTACAACCATTCCTGGAAAATCTATGTCAACAAAGTTCGTTCATTCATTCATTCATTCTATAAGCCTATATTGCACTGTCTTTTTCTAGGCACTGGTTTATATCTTAAAGAGCTAAAAATAAATAGTACCCCAATTTTACCCTCAAAGAACTCACATTCTGAAAGGGAAGATCAACCTACTTATAATTATAATATGGTCTTTTGATGCTAATTATCACAACAGTTCAAGAAAATAAAACAAAAAAGGGGTACTTTTTTATCTTGAAGGGCTACTTTTAGATGAGTTGGGAATAGATTTCTTGGAGGTGATGCCATTTGAACCCATCAGAGAATGAAAGATTAATGGGAGGTTATCCAGGGAGACAAAGAGAGGAGAAAATTCTCAGCTTAGGGAACCTGAACAAAAGCATGGCTATGTAAGACTAAAATATGAATTTAGAAAACATGTACTAATGGTGGGTAACTGCTGATTTGAGAGCAAATTCTAATTATATTCTCTTATCTTACATGTTCCCAGGAAATATACATAATTCAGCCATCACCTTTATGTGTTGGCTTACAGTGATTCATATTTATTTAAACTTCCCCTCCTTGAAAAGTAAACTTAACATATGACAAAAAAGCATTACTGTAAGATAACCACATGCAAATCAACAAAAAAAGAATCCTTAACCCAGAGAATTGGCCAAAAATGCCTCAAAACACATACTCTGCTCCTATTCTAAGAACTATATATCATGCAGCTTATGTTGTGATGATGTCCTATCAAGTAGCATAGGTTTAATAGGTCTGATTTGTGAGGAAATAATACCAAAATAAAAGTCCTAGAGCTCAGTACTTACCCATTTACCATCACAGAGTTCAGTTTATTTCTATGATAATCAAAGATTTCCTCTTTGAAAAGAAAAGGTGCTTCCAAGTGCAGCGAACATCACATTAAAGGCACTTCCTTTACTCATTGAATTTAATTTTCACTAGGAAATGATGGTGCTCCTGAAGCATTGATAGCACTACCCCATAATGACTGTAATTTTAGGTACTGTTGGTACCTCCCACATTAGCACTGAGACTTTGTGAATTCTTGCACATGTTGAGCTCACAAAACATCAAGCATTGCCCTGGCCGGTTTGGCTCAGCGGTTAGAGCGTCGGCCTGTGGTCCTGAGAGACCCGGGTTCGGTTCCCGCTAAGGGCATGTACCTCGGTTGCAGTTTGTCCCCGGCCCTGGTCGGTCGTGCGGGTGGCAGCCACTCGATGTGTCCCTTCACATCGATGTTTCTCTCTCTCTCTGTTCCTCTCTCTCCCTCCCACTCTACCTGAACAAAAAATGGAAAAATATCCTCAGGTGAGGATAAAAAAAAAAAACATCAAGCATTTTTTTCTGGACACAGAGTTTCATAATTTGCCTTTTCCATTTGTTTTTCAGATAGGAGCATGTGGATACATTGAAAAATTGGTTAAAAATAGTTGCTGGTTGATCCAAGCCTTCAGCCTGGCTTGCACAGTCAAAGGCTATACAATGCGTAAGTATGAAAAGCGTATTTGGAAATGGAAGAACAAAAAAGGAAAGACATCTGTATTGTTCTAATTTAAAAGATGAACCAAAACATGTAAAGAAAAGAGATGAAAGTGGAGTTCAATTTGATCTCTATGTGGAGGCTATAGGATTGTACTGCATTATGAATCTATTGTTCATAACAGGAAGTGCTTCAACTCTGGATATCTTGAATTGTCATCTACAGATGTTCCAAATCCAGGCAGGTCTGAGCATTGGGTGTTGCCTGTAATAACTCCCTGAACATTTCTGAATTATGATTAGGAAGGGTTACAGATGCCCACTCAAACCTGTTGCAGTGAGAATCTTAGGTCATCAGTGTAATTCTGACTTCCAGGCTCTTCTATCCTCTGGAAGCTCATAGAACCTCAAAGTCAGGAAACAAATAGGAGTTGTAAAATTTCTTGAGTTATGCTCCCACCAGGACAGATAGAGAAGTCCCATTTCCATCTCTCTGCCTCTTGCATCAGAACCCAGGGCAAAATCACACATGGTTCTCCATGGTACCTACAATAGGGGAAACTTGAACATGATGCTCCACCACTGTGGCTGCCAATCCAGCTTATACTTTGCCGAGGATGAAGAGTCACTGTGAATTTGTTTTGACTTAGGATCAGATGTGCTGTTGAGACTCCCTCTTCTAATTGACCCCACTGTGCTGTCTACCTCTAGGTAGAGCCCATTCCCAGAGAGGGTGTTTTATTTTGTACTAGAAAATTGCCTCTGGCATTGAGACATACAGACAGTATTTCTTTATGTCCTTTGTTGGGGGTTAGAGAGAGGGTTCTTCTCTCCCTAAAAGAGAGGAATACGCAGGAGCCTTCCTTGGGAAAGAGCCCCTCCTGTACCTTACATTGTCAAGAGTTTGCTTTGTCCTCAGCCTTATATCAATGTTTATATTAGATTTGAAGCATGTGGCCTTGCTTATAAATAAATCAACTCATAAGTGAATTGATGGATCAGAATGTTGCTTTCATGCCTGTGTGATTTCCCAAGCCTGATCACACCACAGGTTTTATAAAATAACCATGAAAATAGATGTTAATTTTAATTATTTTTAATTTTTTGCCCCAGCTAATGATGATTCCTCATGTAAACTACCCAGTGGTGAAGCAGGAATTATTTGGGACAGTATATGTTTTGCATTCCTCTTGCTGCAGAGAAGAGTTTTTATGAGTTACTATTTCCTACATGTTGTGGCGGATATAAAAGCTTCACAGATCCTGGCATCAAGGTAGGGTCTTAGACTCCACTCTTCTTTCAGTTTTTGCCCCTGATCTTGTAGGTTTAAGGGTAAAGACTGGGAAGAGCACTAAATATTAAAAGGAATGCCATGTAGATAGCCAGGTGTATGATCCCCTAGACTGCTGTACCCATATTAGAGACACTGGCCAATTGAACAGTGCTATCAGTGACCTTGACAGGTAAGAATCAAAACCAAACATTAGTGAGCCGAGGTTGAAAGTAAAGCCTTGGAGGAAGGAGACTTGACTTGGAGTGGTAAACACACAATACAATATACAGATTATTTATTGTAGAATCATATACCTGAAACCTATATAATTTTATTAACCAATATCACCCCAATAAATACAATTTTAAAAAAGTAAAGTCCTGGAGACAGTGGTTGCAAGATATTTCACTATGCATGGGCAGTGATGTCAAGCTATACATAGGAAAATAGAGGGTACATGTGTTCTTTTTCTAAGATTTGAGAATGTTTGCATGCCTATAAGTAGGTTTTGATACCAGTGGAAAGGTGGAAAATACAGAAAGAGAAGAATAAAAGAAAGAATAGACTTCTTCAGGATATTGGTGGGGAAGTAACCTGAGCACAGGCAGGCCTTAGGTAGGAGAATGTCCCCATTTCCTGTGTCACTGAGAAGAGGCATCCACAAGATAGGTGGCAGGAAGTTGAGCAAATAATTGCTCATGACTTATGTTCTCTCTGGGAAGTAGGAAGCTAGGTCATTTACTAGGAGTGAAAAACTATTGACAGAATTCAAGATTTGAGAAAAGGTTAAGAAGTTTGAAATAACCACTAGAGAGGAGCAGAAGAGTTTCCAGAGAGTGTGGTGCAGTGGATAGTCGGGCAGACGTGTATATTCTGCACCTCTGATGATAGCCCATCCAAGCATACCAATGAGATTCTACAGACTTCCATTTGCCAAAATATTGTGACCTATGATAATGGGAAAGAGTTAAGGATATTAAGAAAGGTTGATGAGATCTGTGGGGACCTTTAAGTTGGCTTGAAATGTGAGAAAAAAAAAAAAAACAGAAGGGAGGGGAAGGACAAAAAGAAGAAAATCGAAGAGGGAGACACTGAAATCCCATCGGCTTGCACTCCAACTTTGTATATATTCCCTTAAGGAAACTTCAGCTCACTCCATGTCCTTTTCTGCTTATTGAGTAGAAAACTAATCTGAAGGCACATTTTGCAAATGTTCTCTGGTGGAACAACTAGAATAAAGTAAGGCGAGTAACACTTTGCTGAGGTATAACGTTCTGAGGACAGGTCTGAAGAGGTGCATGGCTTTTAATATCTTAGAAAACACAAACCATTTTGTCTTTACTGATCTCTTGGAGTTGTGAGCAGCCACTCCTTCCCTGGCAGAGGTTGTGTCGTGTTTGTCCACTTGGAAGGAGCTTCCAGACAGGGCCTTGATGCCCTACCCCACCCCCACGTCCCCCAGCCAGGAAACTTCAGTCAACAGCCCAAAAAGAGATGTTTCTAACTCAATCATTTTAGGGGAAGATAAGTAACAACAATAGAAATACTAATTTGTTCTGTGTTTCCCATTTTTCTTTAGAGGGGCTGAACTTTTCCAGGCCACAATTGTAAAGGCTGTAAAAGCAAGAATTGAGGAAGAGAAAAAGTCAATGGATCAGCTGAAAAGGCAGTAAGGATGCTTTATTTTCCTCTCCTTCTTTCCTTTTATTTTTGGTCTGTGTGATCCCATTCAGAGACACTCTCAGTTCTCAAGAAGCTTCAACTCACTGAAAATCTATTTATGTTAACTTTCACAACTTCCAAGTATTTACCTTATGTCCGATTGACTGAAAATAGAAGTCATTAAAAAGAAAAACAGCTGCAATATGGTAGAGAGGGAGCCGGCTTGGGTAAGACCAATGTCAAGTCTTAGTTCGGCTGTTTACTTTGGAAACTTGAGCAAGCCATTCACAGTCTCTGAATTTTTTTTTTCTATTTTATTTTTATTTTATTATTATTTTTTTTATCCTCACCCAAGGACATTTTTTGCATTTATCTTCAGAGAGAGCAGGAGGGAGAGAAGCATCGATGTGAGAGAGACACATCGACTGCTTGCCACCCATGCGACTCCAACTGGGGCCAGGGACAAACTGCAACCGAGGTACATGCCCTTAGCAGGAACCGAACCCAGGACTCTCTGGTCTGTGGGCTGACGCTCTAACCACCGAGCCAAACCTGCCAGGGCTACTTTTCTGTTTTAAATTAGGACTCACAATCCTACCTGAGTTTTTATAAAGATAAACCAAGTTGTCTTGGCCAGTTTGGCTCCGCGATCAAAGCGTCGGCCTGCGATCCATAGAGACCTGGGTTCGGTTCCTACTAAGGGCGCATACCTCGGTTGCAGTTTGTCCCTGGCCCTGGTTGGTCATGCGGGTGGCAACCACCCAATGTGTCCCTTTCACGTCGATGTTTCTTTCTCTCTCTTTCTTCCTCTCTCTCCCTCCCACTTTATCTGAACAAAAACAACAAAAAAAAGATGGAAAAATGTCCTTGGGTAAGGATAAAAAAAAAGATTAATCAAGTTAATAAATGAGACAGTTTATTTCCCAGTGCCAGGCACTTGGAGTAAATGATCATTACATCTGTGGGTTAAGGGAATAAATGCAGAGTTCTGACTCTGGTGAGATCTTTAGATAGAGTATAATCCAGTCTCTTTGGGAAGAAATTGATGTCCCATGATATTAGATAATTTAAAATTCACAACTAACTACAAGGAGCACTAGAAACACAACCCATATTGTTCTATATTCACATCAACATTCTGGAGAAGTCAAGTAATGGACTGACATCACCCAAGAGATTTAAAATTCTGAATTTTAAGGAGTTTTTATTTGTTTGTTTTCAACACATTATAAAGAATTTTCTTAGAGTGAAATATACAGTAATGAATGGAACTTCATGTATTTGTGTGCCAGGTTTAAGAGATGATGGCTTAGAATTCAGAAGCTAGCCACTTTGTCCAAGAAAATGGAGACACTCTACAAGAAAAATCCCCGAGTTTGCTTAAACTGCTTCATTTCATTCTGACCTCATTTTTACCCATGCAAAAATAATTGCTAGTATAAATTACACTATCCCATGGCATGGTTATTTTCACAATCAAAGATATGAGCTGCATGGTGAGGCACATTGTAACTGTTGCTATTGTTGTTTCTAATTATGTAAATCAACTCTACAGAAATAACAAATCTGGACCCACATTTAGAATGTGTTCCTGTAAATGAGGCCTGTTACTATAATTCACTTCATGGAATTTTTTTTCATTTGCTTAAGTGATAGAAAAACAGAATAAAAAAATAAATAAATAAAGGCAATCATCATTGCAAAAGACAAACTGAAATGTTGTTTTAGCTGCACAAAGCAGAAATTATATTTAAATCAGTTTAAAAACTTGAGCAATATATCCAGAATTTTAAGAAATGAAATTAAGCAATGAAACATTTCAGGAGGGAAGATCTAGGAAACAGAGTTCAACATTGCAGTTCCTAAATAGACTTCCTAAATTCGCAGACAAAATAAAGGTACTAAATCAACAATTAAAGATGCAAAAATACATTTTTTCCAGAACCAATAAAAATTACATTTGAAATAGAGAAGAGGTATATGCTGTAACAGAATACTTATGAACATTTGAGGAACAACATGCTATTTACAAAACAGTTCTCAAGTTCATATATTTTTTCATTTGATGTTCACAACAACTATGTAAAGTAGACAAATAGATTATAAAAAATGCAAAGCTTGGGCCCTGGCGAGTTTGGCTCATCGGCCTGTGGACCAGAGAGCCCCGGGTTCAGTTCCCATTAGCGGCATGTACCGCCCCCCTATAAAAAGCAAAGCTTGGAAGAATAAAGTACTTATATTTCATAATAGGCTGTGTTCAGAATGGCTATGGTACAAGGTGTAAGTGGACATAAAGTATTGCATATCAGATTTTAGCATAATTATTATTGGTCATATTATTAAGACTAGCATCTGTGTAGTGAAAATTGACATGGGTATATATAAAAAATATGGAAATACTTGTTTCTAATAAGAAACCATTTACAACTTCCAAATATTGACCACTTTGCTTATGCTTCTAGCTATATACATAAAAGTATAAACCCAAAGTATGCATATGATATCTGCGGATGTGTTCTTGGCATTGCTGCTGTTCTTGTGTCTTACAGGATGGATCGCATTAAGGCCAGGCAACAGAAATACAAAAAGGGTAAGGAGAGGATGCTGAGCTTGACCCAGGAGTCAGGGGAAGGCCAAGACATCCAAAAACTCTCTGAAGAGGATGATGAAAGTATGTTGAAACATTTCCTTCTTACTCAAGTACCTTGACGTTGAATAATAGCATGATATTGGGTGGGGCTGTAGAAAAACAAAAATGTTACTTTTCATTCTGCCAATATTATAAATGTATTTTTTTAATTTAAGTTTTACATTCACAATGGGACACCTATATTTGTTTCATAAGTACCTATTTAATGGATCTATGACTTGACAAGTATCTTCTCTTTAGCAAGACAATTTAATCAACTTATAAACTACCTTCTGTTTCACGGATGTGTTTCTGAAGAAAATGGGCATAAAATTGCTTTATTTGTTCCTTTAGGGAAGATATTTCAGATATGTAATCTATTATAATCTTTGATTTCTGTAAATTTTATATGAAAACTAAGTGTGTATGCATATTTTATGTAGTGTCTAAATAATGGTAGTTAAAACATTTCATTTTATTGTCTGTTCCAATGAAACTTAAGATGAAATATATATTTATTATATCTAATAAATATAATATATCCAATTAAGTTTAAAAGTTCTTATAGATGTTTGCATGCTTTTCTATTTAAAGGAATGGAGAAATAATGCATGATAGTATCTATTAATTACCAGTAAATTTATATTTTTTCAACCATGTATTAAAATAATCACAAGAGAAATGTCTGGTTATGGGAATATATGCATTTTTTTTATCCTCACGTAAGGACATTTTTGCATCTATCTTCAGACAGAGTGGGAGGGAGAGAGAGGGAGGAAGAGAAAGAGAGAAACATCTATGTGAGATAGGCATATCTATTGGTTGCCACCTGCAGGATCCCATTCAGGGCCGGGGACAAATCGCAATTGAGGTCCATGCCCCTAGTGGAAACCGAACCTGGGACTTTCTGGTCCAAAGGCCGATGCTCTAACTGCTGAGCCAAACTGGCCAGGGTGGAATAAATGCATTTTAACAAATTATTTGCCACTAAATTGTTCTATGAATTTTGGGTAATGCTTCTTTTCTGTTAATTCAAAAAAGAATTCAGTGTGAAATGCATTTTAGACAGATAATACCTTATTTTTATGTTTTTTTCCTATGTTACTAAAAAGAAAATGAAAATGTGGCATAATGTTAATATAGCACAGTATTTATCTTGTGAAATCAACTGCTAATACATGTAAACTTTACAGATTTGATATAGTTTCCTTTCCTGACCTCTTATGTACTTTTACAACTTATCTAGATTTTGACAATTGAGTTGTTAAAGCGTGGTTTTCAAATTTTGTTTTCTCACTTTATAATAATTAATATTTGGACATATTTTATTTTAGGAGAAGCAGACAAACAGAAAGCCAAGGGCAAAAAAAAGCGGTGGTGGCGGCCTTGGGTTGATCATGCTTCCAGTAGGTTTTCTTGATCCTCTTACAATTTCATCAATTCTAATCCTTATATCCTTGACCAGAATTCAGGCGTCCCCATGGCCTATGTGTTTTAATGCATGGTTTGATCCTTGTGACTTGATAGGGGGTCAGGGTATATAGGAAAATTGTGATATGGATGGCTCTCTGAACCTTTACACAGAATCTTTCAGAGAAAATAGCTGATTACATGCTGGCTGAAGAAAGCCAAATGTGTGGCTTACATACTCCTGAGCACCATTTATGGGCTCAGAAAGGGAAGAATAATTGACTACTATGTTATCCACTTCTGAGGTCTAGAGCTCTGCTAATATGTATTTGTTTTAAGACTTAAAATCCTTAGTCAAAGTAAGTTTCTTTTCCTCCTGGGACTCTGATTTAAGGATAATCATTACGTTTAAAGTGTTTGTGACCCTCTTTGTAAGGCACTAGGCATGGATACCAGTGAGCCTCCCCTACCCTAATTCCCAGAGCTTTGATTTTATTCGCATGTAAGGATGTTTTGCAATTTATTAAATATAAAAATGAGGACAACTTAAAATGCATTTACTTTTTTAAAGTGCTTCCCTAGTTTCAAAAAGGCTCTGAAACTACATTTCCAATCCAGTTCCCAGCATATGGCCCCCAGAGCCACCTGCAGCTCAGCCATGACCAATTAAGAGCAAAGTCAGAAAACAGTTTTTGAAAAGCAGAACTTGATAGCCACATAGAATTAGTGCTTTCCCCTCTTGGTCATACAAAGATAATGAGAAATTATGGGACTCTGTGGCTATATTTGTTGTGCTTAGCAAAGGAACTATCACCCACTATTGGCCAATGGTATTTTAATGGAATAATCCACTTGAGTCTAGCCCTCCTTAAATGTATTAGAATATTAAATAATTATTAATTATTTTGAAAATTACTTGTAATATCTTCAGTCTTTTAGGTTTTATACTGTATTTCACTAATTGTAGCTAATATAATCAGGTAAGGAATATCACCAAGGCCCATAACATCACATGATGATGGGAGGGGCTCCACTAACAGATATTTAGAATCACTAGAAAATCAAATTGATCAGAATCATTTTCCATACCTAATTCTAAGTGTCACCTACATCTGATATTGGTTTCTCTAATTTTAGAAATAACTTTTTGAACTCAGTAAGCCAATTTAATAAAGCAATACTCAAAATTTGCTCAGTATATGTGGATGTTATTAAATTTAATCCCAAATATTAAATTTTAACATCATGGCAAAAAAAAAAAAAAAAACCCATCAGTTATAAAGAGTTTTATTTTATTTGCTGCCCAAGTCAAAAGACAAAGATACAAGTTGAAATTCTGTGTGACTCTTTAATATATTGTCCATTGGTATGTTAGTCATGTTAACAATCTAATAATGCATTGCACTCTATGCCTATTTCTATCAAGTCACAAGTAAACTATGCCTATCTTTCTGTTTTTAAAGGGTCCTTTGCTAGTTTAGACAGACCTATCCATTTCAAAATTGTGTCATACTAAATGTTTTATTCTTTCAGCTGGGGTAAATTCCCATTGTAATCATTTGTGGTTGTATTTTCTTTCTCATCTAAATATTGCATTTTGGAAAGATTTGGATATGGTCTTTGATAATCATCTTACAAGTTGGGAATAATTCAAAGAACTTTCTATGAAGGGTATTGTCTTTAGATTTTCTGATTCATTTCACCCTCATTATATAAAGTTCTTAAAGAAGATGGGTATTAAACTAAATGTGCCTTGTTACAATACCTTATGGTGCAATAATGCATGAATGTGTGCAATCCATAGATTGGAATCAGATTCTGAGCATGGTGGTAATATTTTTCTACAAAAAGTGTTTCCTTTACAAGCTTGTAAAGAAAGGAAAGGAATAAATATGTGGTTTATTTTTTAGGCTATGACAAGCTCCATAATGTATCTTCAGATCTGGAAGCACTTATTTCTTTAAAAGTCACTGGTCTTTTAAATAGATATTTCTTAGCGGTGTCAAGCATAAAAATAAGTGTAGTTGGAATATCCTTTTGTAAATCCATTGACAATGTAATTATGTTGCTATATTTTTCATATTATTGGTAAGCATTCAATATCTTAACATAGATTTCAGGTGACAAATCTCTCACTTCCATACCTATGTGCACACATATGATTGCATTATTGCTGTTCAATGATACCTTCCTTTTCAGTGCAGTATGTCTTCATGTCACTTCAGTACTGTCTAAGTCAATGCCAAATCTCACTTTATTGTTAACTATATGAAATAAAATGCCCAGTTTCAGGAACTGGGATTTTAAAAGTTATTTTCATGCTTAATCATTCAGCAATAACATCAACATCCATAATATGTATCTGGAAACTGGCTAGAGGCAGGGTCTCTATCTGAACTAACAAAGCTCTTCCTTTACAAGAGCTTTGCTACTCATTCTTGGCAGATAGCTCTAAAGAAAATATCCTTTGTTACTTTCCTAATTTTATTTCAGTAACATTTTATTAAAGAATAGAAAATTTTTAGCATCGTTCTTGTTTTAATGTGTTAATTCTACTTCTCACTTACAAATTGGTAGTTTTTTAAATTATAAAATCAATGTTATGACTACTTTAGATAAAAATTACTTGGGCTCACAGTGTCCACATGGATAAAAGTTATAGAAGGTATGATTGAATAGAATTTAAGCTACTATTGATTTTAGAGACTATAATGAGGGTAAAATGCTTGATCTTATACTCTGTTTTTACCAAATGACCATGTGACGTATAGTCCATGTAACTTTCCTGCACATCTCTGAGCTTACATGAAGGCATTACTTTAATGGTCTTCTCACTGTCAAACGTAATGCTGTAACTTTGGTTTGTTCTTGCTTACTCTTACCTTATGTTATATTGCATTTATTTCCTCAGGCCTGGACCCAGTACTCTGGGCCTGGTTCTTTCTTGAAAACAAAAATAACAAATCACAGTGCTTCTGTTCAAGGATATAAGGCCCAATTCATTCACTCTGTGTCTTCATGGATGGAGGCCTCAGATACGTCTGAAGTCAGGGGCAAAATTATTTACCTTTTGACCATGTTGGTGATATTCAAGTAACTAGTTTTAAACAAGCCAAGGTTTTCCATTACCTTACAATATTTAAGTCCAAAATATAACTGAACACATCATGTTATGTTATCCAAAACACAACTCAGCATTTGAAGACGTGAACATAACTTGAAAGTATTAATGTTTTCCTGCAATGATGGTACAGTTCTTGTAGCATCAGAAATGTATGTGCTGGGTCTCTTGTCTCTGATAAACTTAAAATAATAACAAACTGATAAAAATCTGATCCTCAAATTTCTTTAAACCTCTGGACATTTCAGCTTTTCTAATCCTAACTCTTAGCACAGTAATATGTTCTTGCAGGGAAAGTATTAAGCAAGGCAAGGATGATCTATACTGTTTGTGCTTTGTGTCTTATGCTCAGTACAGGTCTCCTCAAATTTCAGTAAGTGCCTGGGGAGCTCCTGGTTGACCAGAAGCCTAACAGCACTAAACTGCATGGACCATGTCTGCTGTGCTTCAGTCTGTCCCATGCTATGTGCAGAAACAGCCAGAGTGGCAGTGGCGTTATTGTGGTTGTGTTCTTTTTTTAATGTTACCTGCCCATTTCCTCCTCATGGCAATGTGTTATTAAGATAAAAAACGTGTATTTCAAATGTCTTGCCATATGTGTTATGTCCCTTGTGCCACGTGTGGAGAAGCCAGGTCTGCACAGTATAGAGTGAAGTGGAGGGTTGGTCACACTGATTCTTGGTCCTGAATCTTCATGATTGGCTTGTCTACAAAGTTTGGACCCATTCAGACAACACCAAGCCTTCCACTTTACTTTGGCCTTGTCTAAAGGACCAGAATTGCTGAATTGTTAAATAGTATTCAGTTATTGTGGCCATCTTGGTAACAAAATTGGTTGCTGCAGAGTTGGTCTGATGCATCTGTGAAAAATTTACAATGAAGAAGGAAGAAAACACCAGATCAGCCCAGTAGTGGCCAATTCTCTTACATGGCCTAAACAAGGCCTTGTGCTCTGTAGACCTAGTCATGCCAACAACATGTAGCATAGCCCAGAATGAATCCTCTTCATTTCTTGTTTTTTCCTTCCTACCAACATCTCTTGCTGTGATCCTTTTATGGACAATTTATGTGTATCTTTGGGGGGCATTTCATTAATAATCCCCTGACTATCTTGTATGTCTTTCAAGAAATAAGTAAATATTTTGTTTTGCTTAGTGGTCAGGAGTGGAGACTATTATTTGTTTGAAACGGATAGTGAAGAGGAGGAAGAGGAAGAATTAAAAAAGGAAGATGAAGAACCTCCCAGAAAGTCAGCTTTCCAGGTAATTATGGGATTTGAGAGATCATGTTCTTTGCTAGTTGGGTTTTCTTTTTGACAGATTGTGAGTAAAAGCCTAGACTTCTTTTACCATATTCATATGTGTTATAGCTCCCAGAAGCTTCTGAGCTACATCTGAAATTGTTTATTTCTCATTAAACTAATGTTGCTTACTCTCAGCATTGCCATAATTACTACCATACAAGAACACTGTTCCAGTCAGGTCTTCATTCATTTGCATCAAAAATTGTTCTGATGCCCAGCTGGTGTGGCTCAGTGGCTGCACATCTACCCATGCACCAAGAGATCACCAGTTTGATTCCCAGTCAGGACACATGCCCAGGTTGTGGGCCAAATTCCCAGTGGGGGACATTCAGGAAGCAGCCAATCTATGTTCTCTCTCATCAATGTTTCTCTCTCTCCCTCTCACTTCCTCTATCTCTAAAAATCAATAAAGGAAAAAAAAAATTGTTCTGATGCCCTGGCCAGTATTGTTCAGTGATTAGAGCATCAGCCTGCACACCGAAGTGTTATGGATTCGATTCCTGGTCAAGGGCAAGTACCTGTGTTACAGGTTGGCAGGTTGGATCACCAGCCCCAGCTGGGGGCTCTTATGGGGGCAACCAATTGATGTGTCTTTCTCACATTGATGTATCTCTCTCTCTCTCTCTCTCTTTCTCTCTCTCTCTCTCTCTCTCTCTCACCCCCTTCTCCCTCCCCCACCTCCCTCCCTCCCTTCCACTATCTCTAAAAATAAGTGAATAAATATCCTCCTGTGAGGGTTAACCAAAAAAAAAAAAAAATTCTGATGCTATAAACAAAAAATATTAAACTTCCTTGGGTGAACTTTACTTTTCTGTTTCAAGTAGGAGGTAAAGAAGACTTCTCTGGACTTGCCTTGGATTTCTTGAGTGGACTTATATTTTGATATATAGAATAGTTGATCATTAAAATAAAATACTTGTTTTTTTTTTTAAAAAAAACACACGGTCATTTAAATGTTACTTTGTTTTGAAAAACAGTTTTATTTGTATTGCTAAAGATTTGAGAGTTTACTGAAATAATGAAAGTATCTAGCACAGATCTGATTTTTTCAGCTCAACTGCCTTTTGTTTTTCAGCACCTGCTGTACCATTCTCTGTCATATAGCTCATTAGCCTAAGTATAGTATACTTAATGCTACCTAAACATGATGATTTGTCAGAAGAGTTACATATGGAATGAAAGCTTGGTATATATTTATATGTATATATATTTTAGGAAGGAGCCACATATTAGGAGCTATTTTCCATTTGTTGTACTACAAGCACCTAGATTACAGGATGTGTCCTGGAAGAGGCCAATGTCGGTTTGCTGGCCAGGTCTTCTCAAGCTCGCAGTTTACATCCATTTGTTTTCCCAAGACATGGAAGAACTAAAGTATTCACGGAGACACCTTGCTCTGACGCTTTCTCACTGGCCCCATTGCTAACTGGTGTGTTCCTAGATGACTGTGTCTGTGTGCATGTGTGAAGCTGGCTTGTCAAATACTAATGACTTGACTTGTTTATTTTTATTCTAATGCCTTTTATTCTAACTCATCATGCAGCAAAGGAGAGACCATGATTTTATTCAGTACTTTTATGAATTACTTGCAACAATTGATTAGTTTCTTTATTTCTAACATATAAGCAGAGCACATTTTATTCTAGCTTCAATGACTGGCACTTGAACCTAGTTGATGTAATTGTACAGGCAAACTCATACTGACATCATATATTAAATTATTAGTCTTTGTTTTTTTCTACTAACTACTCTTGCTTTGTCCTTCTTTGTAGAGAGCTATTGGGAAGTTTGCATCCGCCCTTTTAGCCTTGCCAAAGTCTGTCATTAAACTTCCCAAAACTATTCTTCAGTATTTAATCAGAGCTGCAAAGGTATTTGAAGTTTTACTGATGTGTGCTGTGTGACTCTCTGCTCCGTAGACCTTTAGACAAGCCGACCCCTGTTGCTACATCTGCATTTTCCCTGTTCTATAGATCTCACAAAGAAGGAATTATAAGACTTTAAGTGTTATACAAACTTTTCCGCAGAATTCTGAGAAGCCTAATTTTATATTACTTGATTCTTATTTTTCTGTTGATACCAGAGACTATCAAAAAATAGAAAGAGAAACTGCAGATATATATCTACTTTCTGTCCTTTTTGTAGTTTTGACTAAGTCACATCTCACTTTAAAGGGGTCACATCTGGTTGCATGCATCATTTATGATGTGTGAAAAGAGTAATATTTTTCTCAGAAAGCTGGTTAAGTTATGAATAAGCTAATAAAAGATTCGGTTTGATCCACCTCCTTTTTGGCTTCCTGTTAAGTCTCCATCTTCCTAAACTGGGCGTCATTTTCCATTTCTCATTCAGAATTCGGTCTCTCTCCTCACGGGATGGTGCCGCCGTGTGAGTTGGTGCAGCGGCTCCTTCCCAGGTGCTCAGGGACAGTGTTGAATCAGCATCACATTCAGCTACCCATGCTGCTGTCACTTCATTACTGACAATCACAGGCAATGAATTCTTGTATTTAATGAAGCTGTTTCTCCTGACTTAATCTGAGGCAGACAATACTCTCAGGTCTCCATGCTCTTTGATGTTAAGCAAATGCTTTGGACAGTGATCAAGATCAGTGTTTCTCACATTTTACCTGGGGATCTTATTTAAATGCAAGGGATCTTATTTAAATGCAAGTTATTTAAATTCAGCAGGCCCTCAGTGGGGCCTTAAATTCTGCATTTCTCTCAAGCTCCTGGGTGAAGCCCAAGCAGCTGGTTCACCTTGAATAGCAGGATCCAGTACTTTAGGTTCCTACCATTTTTTAAATGTCAGGATTCTGATTTTTAGTCTAATATTCACTGGTGTCACTTCCCTAGGATTCCTTTTTTTTTTTTTTTTTTTGGTCTTTTATGACTACCATACGAATCTCTTCATCACATAAGAGAATTTCTATGAAAGATTACAAGGACAGTTTATGAAACTTAACCAACTTCAGTGGAGAATCTTCACATCAGTGAGGTTCTCTCCTGTTTTAAAGATTAAATTCTTTTTGGTATAATAAGTTTTCAGTAAAATGAATTCCATTTTCCTTAACAGATATGATAAAATTTAAGATAAAGTTGGGAATACAGTGGCAGTGCAGTTTGGAGACACTAAAGGTCATTTAAATACATCCCCATGCATTTTCTACTTATGGTTAGTGGTACTCATGTCTGATTCCCTAGAGATCCATCAAAGGGATGATAGCTACAGCTACCAGGTAAGAATCAAGAAGTTTCAGTAAGAAATGGAATGTTTCTTCCTCCACCTTCATTATCAACTTTTTCCTGAAACAGTTGGACTTAAGCCAAACTGACCCTCTATCAGATGTTCCTGGAACTATCAAATGTTTTTATTTCTAAACATCAACATTAGGATAATATACCTACAAATAAGGAGTGTCATGTGATTCTTTCCCCTCCTTCCTTCCCTCTTATTTACATTATCCAAATTCTCATCTCTATAAGAAAGAACTGATAGACTTAATCATTGAGGTGTCATATGTAAAACCAGGAGTTTCCTTTAAATACAGTCTATTTCAATGCCTCTTACCCTTTCTACAGGACCTCTTCAGTTTGAGTCTAAGCACTTCTTTCTCCCGTACTCACCCTCCTGCCCAAAGGTTTCATTTTCTTTAAAACAAAAACATCCTTCCAGTTGTGTACTTGTTACATTCACAGATCTTGATTTATTATTATTTTTTATTTTGGGAATTCTTACACTCTCTAAAAGCAATTTTCTAATAATATTTTAAAATAAAATATCACCATATTTTGCTGTTAACCCTGAAAATTTATTTACGTTTAGCAGAATAGATATTTTTAAAAGAATCAGTATTTTGCAGAAGCAAGTTTGCTTATTAATGTACTAAACCTCAGAGACATTCTTGAGAGACTTCCCAATTAACATGATTAATAAACATCTGCTATAAATTCCTATATTTGGTTCTTCTCCTTCAAATTCCAGTTTATCTCATTTTTCAAAATGTTTTAGGGTGTAAAATAGGATATATTTTTGACTCCGGGGCTTATTATTCAGAAATAATATAGTTGTTATATTTACATTTATTGCACTTAAGATTCAGATTTCTCCCAGTGAGAAGAAATGTTCTTTCTTAGTAACCTGTGACCTTTACTTTTCCATATATGGAAACATTGAATCCCTTTTGAATTTTACTGACAATGCAGTGCCCATGGTTTCCTTAAACTATGTTTTTCAAAGAGTCCAGAAATCTGAACATTGCATACAATAAAATGAAAGTGTCTGGGTCTACACGCACCCCTGTGAAACATTCCTTTAACTTTACGATAACAACAGAAAACCCAGCTTCCCTGAGACCAGGTGTGTCTGTGGGTGCATGAGGAGCATGCCTGCTTGGCTTCGTGGTTCTAGGTGGCTGACTTTGTTTATCAAGGTTTTCTTTTTCCTCTTTCTGCATGACTTGGGAAACAATCGGTCGGTGGGCTGTTCATAATGGGTCTATTGTGGTTATCAGTTAAAATATACTAACGCAACTATTTTCAGCTCTTGAATGAAAATGACAAAAGGCAACCAAAAGCACGGGTTTTCCTTCCATACCATCCAAAATAACTTAATCTTAATGTCACATTATTTTTCCTCTCCAAATACTAATCAATCTTCAAAGCCCTTTCTCAAGTTGCTGGTAATAGCTGTTGTTCACAAGGGAAAGTATCAAATGTGCAAAACTATTTCCCAAAGTAAAGGAGTGAAAGATGTTATTTTGTTTCTGACTCAAAGTTTATTTTTGATGGGAGAACACTACTCTAATGATACTTAATTAGGCTTACAATTTATTTCTATTGCATGTAACAGGAAAGATCAGTAGTTAAGTATCACAAATGGTGGTGGTACAGGGGGAGTTGGGAGAAATGCTGGTTTGTATATACCCAAAGTTGCTCATGATTGTCTGTGATACCAAATGAAATATATTCCTACAAATCTGTTTTCATTTATTATTTCGTGATAATGAAAATAGCACAGATCAGCTTGCATATGAAAAGATGTGGAGGGAGAGAAAAAGGATTTGGGAGAGGGATATTTAGTTTGTGTTGGGAAAGAAAAAAAAATGTTTCCGAAAGTCAGGAAGCTTAGTGTTGGTCTCTTATCTTTTAAGTCAAATATTGAAAAGCCAGAAAATAATTCCACTTTCTCCCTTCAGTTTGTTTATCAAGCCTGGATTACTGACCCGAAAACAGCACTCCGACAGAGGCGAAAAGAGAAAAAAATGTCTGCAAGAGAAGAACAGAAAAGGAGAAAAGGATCTGGGGAGGGTGAGTGTCGCAGGGTGCAGCGGGCTTCAGCCAGCACTCTACATATCTGGGGCATTGAATACAACAGAGGAACTGCAAAGGACAGATCTTTGGACAAATCAAATTCTTAAATTCTAAAGAGTGCAAAGAATTCTACTTGTCCTTAATTGTTTATGTCTGACAGAATAAATTAAAATATAGATTTGAGTTAAGATTCATTTTATAAAATGGGGAGAGGGGCAAAATAAACCCAAAGAGAGTGGACAGAGGAATATATTAAGCTATAGAAAATAAATATAAGATAAGACCTTAGCATGAAGTCAAAAGCTATTTTTGGAAAAAAACTAATAAAGATGAACCTTTGACATTTGGTCAACAAAGAAGGGAAAGCATGCCTAAATAGTGCTCAAACCAAAAATGGAACATAAATTCCAATGCCATTCAACATTATACTGATAGAAACACATTTCTAGGAGGAAAAAATTACAAATCACCAATAGCAAAGTTAAAGTGCAGGGTGGGGGGCACTCAGGAAAAAACATTTCATTATGTAAATCTGACTGTAGATCAGTATTCTAATATAATAAGAATTCCAAAAAATCAGTATAAGAAAATTTCAACCCAGTGGATGAACAAATACAAAAACAATTCACAAATCAGAAAACAAAAACGGCCTTTAAAAAGGAGCTAAGCTTCACCAGTAATATGAGAAACACAAAGTATTTTGACATTTTGGGTTTTTACCTATGGGATTGGCAGGAACCCAAACATTTGATAATATCACCCTTTGGAACGAGTGGGAGGCTGAGTGCCTGCACATACTGCAAATGGTTCCGTAAAGCTGTACGTCCACTTTGAAGAGCAATGTGTCAATACATGTGAAAATTTTAAATATACACATCCCACTACTAGGTGTGTGGCTTAACCTGAAGCAAGATTTGTACATGTGCACAAGGACACATGTCTAAGATTATTTATCAAACATTATTGGTTAAAAATAAAAATTTAGAAATATCTTTTGTGTCCACATAAAGAGGAAGACTCAAGTTCATTATGTTACCAATAGATAATGGAATACTTTCAGTAGTTTAAAAAGTGATATGGATTACTTTGAACTGACTTGGAGAAAAATTTCTGACATATTGTTAAATGGAAGGCACTATGTTGCAAAATGGCATACACATTATGAAATCATTTATGAAACAAAGGAAACCACAAGATAATATTTTGCATTTTAATGGGTGCATATAATAGTGTATAAATGCAAGAGAAAGATCAAGAAGAATACTTAGGAAATTAGTAACAGCGGTTCCTTCTGGGGGAGGGGGTGGAAAGACTGAGATTAAGTGGTATGATTAAAGGGAACTTTAAGCTTATCTGTTACATTTTCGTGCTTTAAAAAAATGTATATATAAATTCTTTGTGATATTAAAAATATATTTAAAAATAAAGAAAAGAGAACATAATTTCTAATGGAGCTCTAATTGTAAACCGCTCCTCTTTTGCCATTCTATCCCCTGCTACCTATTGGTAACTTTAATCTCATTTTACTTTATTGGTTTAATAAAACAAAATTAAGACAGAGCTGATGTAACAAGACATCAGTAAAGAGATAATTGCACAGTCTGCCCTGCAAACCTGTCTACTAACTAAGCTACCAATCTTCACAATATGTTGTGTTCACTTCAACTCTAGTCTCAGGGGCATATGCACATGTGTGCAGACATGGTTTCCTTTGTTTGCTTTTCAAAAATGAGTTCATGCCATACAAACTGCTCTTATATGTTCATTAGCAACGTGTTGTGAATATTTCTCCAATTAACTATTTATAAATTCACATTATTTTTTATAATAGCTGCAAAATATTCTGTAATATGGATATGCATAATTTATTCAGCTGTTCCATCATTAATGGACAGAAGTTTGCCTGCTTCCAGATGTTTGCTGCAATGAACAATGCTATCTATCATAGATATCCCTGGACAAAACTCTACATATAGTCAAACATGTCAGGAAGAACAGTCACTTTCCACAGAATACATTATCAAAAGTGAAATTACTGGGTTGAATGGTGTGCCTTTTTTTACTTTAATAGATATTTTCCTGAACAGTTTTAGTAATTCACACTATGATGTGTGGGGTACAGGAGTGTGCATTTCCCCATAACTTTATCCCCTAGGATAGTATTACTCTTTTTATTGTTTGTCTTTCTCAGGGATAATAAATGGCTTTTATTTTTATTTTAATTGTCCTAACTAATAAGACTAAATACTTTTTATTTTCTTGGTGATTTGTACTTCCAAACCTAAGATTAAACATTTTTATAATTTTCCATGTCATCATATTAGATTGTCCTTATTAATTTGGGGAATATTTATATGCTAAGGATATTATCCTCTTTTATATGTTAAAATAGTTTTCTAATCCAATGCTTATCCTTTCATTTGCTTTATAATGTTATACAAACACTTTTTATTTTTTTAAATATGTTTTATTGATTTTTTTAGACAGGGAGAAGGAGAGAGAGAGAGAGAGAGAAAGAAACATCGATGTGATAGAGAAACATCTATCAGCTGCTTCCTGCATACCCCCTACTGGGGATAGAGCCTGCAACCCAGTTTACATTCAGTATTATTTTCTGTTAGTTTCAGGTGTACAGCATAGTGGTTGGACAATCATATACTTTACAAAGTACCCACCTGGCACCATACGTAGTTATTAACAATATTATCAATGTCAGATAGATAGGTAGATAGATAGATATAGATATAGATATAGAGATAGATATAGATAGATATAGATATAGATATAGATCTTCTTCTTTCTTTTTTATTTATTTATTGTTGACATTTATTCCTTCCCACTTTACCCGCCCTCTGCCATCTCTGGCCCCACCTCAGGCCTTCCCCACACTATTGTCTGTGTCCATTGGTTATGCATATATGCTTATAAGTTCTTTGGTTAATCTCTTCACATATCTCCCACACCCTGCCGCTATGAGCTCCATCAGTCTGTTCCCTACTCCATGTCTCCGTACTTATTTTGTTTGTCAGTGTATTTTGTTCATTAGATTCTATGTATAAGTGAGATCATGTGATTCTGAGTCCAGCATATACCGAGCTAGTGTTGCATACTCTTCTCACTACCCTCTTTCTTTTCTTCAAAATTATGTTTACTATTCTCAGACATTTATTTGACCAGTTCTAAAAATTTGTTCTTTAATCATCTCATAAATATTTCATTACTCTGTACCACGAAGATTATCTCATGTGCAGATGCACCACCATTTACCTATAAATCAAAAGCAGCAATAGTTCAAGGATTTGGGGACTGAAATCAGTTTTATTTAATTATTTAATAAATATTATTCAGCACCTTCTTGGTACAAGGTGTCTCTCTTCTAGGTTACAGATAAAGCAAGTGGATTCTGAAGTGCCAGGTGCTGTGTTTTCTGTGCAGTAACTCATTGGATCCTTACCATAGCCCAGGGCATTCTCTTCTCCTGCCCTACAGATCAGGAAATGAGGTCCCAGAAGGTGAAGCAATTTGCCTAAGGGCATACAGCCATGCAGTGAGTGGTGGGCTTGGAATTCATAACAAGCATCCTGGCTCTAGATCTTCTGGTCTTAACCATTAGTGAACACAAGCATGGGGGAAGGGAAGGAACCCCAATGACATAGAAACTGCAAAGTTTCATTTAAAATATAAATATAGATAAAATAGTGCGGGACCAGAGAATAGGTGACTTTTAGCAGAGTATAAAGGAATTTAATACTGCTTGAAAAAGACAGTGCTTGAATAAAGCCTGACATTTTGGCAGAAGAAATCAAGACCATGTCGGAAAAATAAAGAGCAGGTCAGTCTAGCTGGTAAAAATGATTTATGAAACTGAGTAGTAGAGAATAAGTTTGAGGAGTTTAACGGGAGTCAGATTATTAATGGTCTTTGATAAGGTTACCAAATAAAATACAAGAAACCCAGTTACATTTGAAAATGTTAGATAAACAACAAGCATTTATTTTAGCTTAAGAATAATATGGATATATTGCATGGGACTTACTTATGCAAAATGAAAAATATTTATCTTAAATTAAAATTGAATTAGCTATCCTGTATTTGTACTCGCTAGATCTTAACACCTTAGTCTTAAATAAGAGGTTAAGAAATCAACTGAAACTCTATAATGTCATTTTAGAGGGCGACACACTGAAATTTGTAACATTACCCCAACGTATTCATAATTAAAATTTTATAGTTTGTATCAGGAGTCAATAAACTTGTAAAGGGCCAGATAGTAAACATTTTAAGCTTTTAAGGCCCTAAGTCTCTGTTGCAACTCAACTCTGCCATTCTAGGGTGAAAGCAGCCACCAAAACTACATTAAAAAAATGGTCCTGTGTTCCATTAAAATTTGAATTTTATATAATTTTCATGAGCAAAAAATGTTCTTTTTTGATTTTTTCAACTGTTAAGAATAAAAAAACTATTCTTAACTTGCAGGCCATTTAACACAGGAAGCAGGAAAGATTTGGCCAGTGGGTTGTAGTTTACCCACCTTTGGTATATTATTGTTCTGGAGGGAAGAGAATCTGAAAGCTATGAATTCTTACAACTTTTCCCCAGGAACTCTTAAAATAGGAAGAATATTCGAGGTCTAATTTTTAAATTTCTTTTAATCCAGAAGAGTAGATTTGACAATGTAATATGCCCTAAATGAATCTAACCGATGTTTATTGAACTCACCTGGCAGGTCCTGTGGAGTGGGAAGATCGAGAAGATGAACCAGTCAAAAAGAAATCGGATGGACCAGGTAACAAAATAAAGACAAACATGACCTGGGAGAAATTTGACAATGTTTATGGAATGAAAGGCTGCCTAAAAATAATTAATCAAATGCTGTTTCTGGACTATGGCTACATAATCAGTGTCCTTTGAAATCACATCTCTAGTGAAATAGCAGAGTGACTCCTAAAAGTAGATCTGTCCCTTACACTGTTAGATTATATGTTGATCAGAGTTGATTTGTAGATTCTTTTATCTAAGTACCTATGAAAGAGGATGTGGGGGAGAAAATTATAAATGTTCTATAGAAGCCATCAAAATAAATACACCAAAAATATTGGCAATTAATTTTAAAGGATATAGAAAGAAGGAGTTAAGTAAAGGGAAAGTAGAATTGGAGAGTGAGAGGTACTCTGGAAGCTTGAGCCAACCTCCCCATTTTTTTTTTAAATATGTGTTTATTAATTATTTTACAAAGAGAGGAAGGGAGAGAGAGAGAGAAACATCAATGTGAGAGAGAAACATTGATCAGCTGCCTCCTGCCCTCTCCCTACTGGGGATTGAGCCTGCAACCTATATGTGCCCTGACCAGGAATCAAACCAAGACCTCTAGGTCCATGGGATGATGCTCAATCCACTGAGCCACCTGGGCCAGGCTCAACCTCCTAATTTTATGAGGGAAAACCAAATCCTAACAAGTTTGCTCAGGATCCCAGAGGTATAATCAGGGACAGAATCCCTATCTTCTAACTCCTAGGCCAGTCATGGTGCCATTTGGACTTTGCATAGTATGTGATTGGGAGGAAGATTTCTCCATGCAGGGACCAAAAAAAAGGCAAAACAAAATTCTCTAAATGAAACAAACTCAAATGCCTCTCTAGTTCTATCAAAGTGCTGCTTCCTCTATTGCGCTGGGTTGGAACTCCTGTGTACATTATTTATCAGCAGACAAGATTCTCAGGCTCTTTACTCTGGACACAAATACTTCCAAGGATGCCATCTGCTGGCTCATAATGAGACTTCTTGAAGGCTAGCTAATACCCTCTGTGGCACAGTTCTTAAACCTGGCCTCCATTTCCAGACAGTTTTATTCGCACGTATGTGGAGCCAGGTATTCTATTATTGCTGCAAAGCCTTAACCAATAGTAGTAGCTAACCCTTTAGATTGCACATCTTCTTTGCCAGGCACTTTCCAAGAGCTTTAGACATATTAACTTGTTTAACCCCCTCAAAGATCCTCTTCCCTGTTTAACAGTTAAGAAATTGAGGCAGAGAAAGATTAGCCAAATTCTCAAAGGCTATATAGCTACAAAGGTAGAGGTAGAATTTGAACCAAAGAGTCTGAACCCAGAGTTTGTGCTCTTAGCAACCAGTGATTAAAAAATAAGTAAAAAAATCCTAATTTTACATGTTGGTTTGTGATCACCCAAGTTAATGAAGTGCAGGTTATACATGTCTCCAACACAGCAATTTTAGTTTTAACATCAAGACCACCATATGCAAAACTGTGAAATAATTATATTTATTTTTACCACCTCCAGGGATATAACTGTGAATATGAAAAAACTTAAGTTGTCAAAATATAAGATGCTGCTAATGTTTATTAATAGTTGTAACTAACTTCAAGTCTTTCAGCCTCCAGGCGTCAAACTTACCTTTGACATCTACATAAAATGGCTAAAGGTTCTATCCAAACTACTGTGGGAAATGCATGCCTTGCTCAAGATCAAAACAGAAACAGGAGTGTTGGATGGAAAGACAAGTGCAGGTGTTCCTAGGCTCCCTGGTTCAGAATTGCTCTTCTGTGGAATCTGTAGTCAATTACTCCATTCAGCTTCACCAAACAGCTGCTTCCTCCCTGGGCTTCTTTGTTCAATTAAAATTACTCTCTCCTGTCCCTACTTCCTAGAGTATACTGCATTAAGGCTGCGAGGTGTGGCACAATGTCATCGAGGTTTAGGGGGATAGTGGGAGGCAGCGACAGCATAGCAGGAGACTACTTCGAAGGGAAGTCAGAGCTCACTATTCCCCCTGGGCAGATCGCTCAGCTGGTGTCCCTGGGGCCTGCCTTCGCAGCCACTGTGGCCCAGGGCCCTGCCCTCCAGGCTCTTCTCCCATCATTCTCCCATCTCCTTTTCCAGATTTCCAGTTATCTTCTTAGCTACCAGCTAGCCACTCCAAGGTTCTTGTTACTCCAGTAGGTAGAACTATTTAACTCCCCTTCATCTCTTGCCCATCTGGACTCTGTCTGGAGGCTGTCCCACATAAAGCTAAGCTTCTTCTGGTGGTTTTCCTTTTGAAAAGAGCAAACATTTACCTGGGAGAAAGTCTGCCTTCCTCCTAGGCCACTCAATTCACAGATAACTTTATTTTTTACCATTACCAAGTTAAACTTGGATTCACACTGTGGTATGAGAATTAAAGTAGAGAGAGGATTCATGGAGAGCAGGGCTGAGTCACGAAGTGGTCATAACTGATTGTACTGGATCAAAGTCAGGGAACTATACCTGCTGCCTGTATTTATAAGACTTGTTAGCTAAGGATGATTTTTATATTTTTAATGGTTGAAAAATATAAAAAAAGAAGAGTATTTCATGACATGAAAATTACGAAATTCAAATATCAGTATCCGTAATAAAATTTCATTGCAAACCCACCCATGTCCATGCACAGACAGTGCTGTCTACAGCTGCTTGCACACAGCAGTGATTAGTTGCAATAGAGACAGTATGCCCTGGAAAGCCAAAAATATTTACTATCACGTCCTGTCCAGAAAAACGTTAGTTGACTCCAGCACAAAATCCTAAAGGCTATAATCATTAGTTCTAAATCTGTTAAGGTTTCACTGTGACCCTTAAATCCAGGGTGTTTTTTGTTTGTTTGTTGGGGGTGTGGAAAGGGTGAAAGATGCAAGTTGTTTTCTTGTTGGTGGTGTTTGTTTTTAATAAACAGTAAGACAATTCTTAATTCATTGTCATGTTCGCTAAGTATTTGCTTTATTGCAATCAAGATTTGAAATAGTTGATAAAACTAAGGTTTTTAAATACCAAATTTTTAAAAAGTACACATTGATCAAAATTTGGTGGCATGTCCTTAAGGGTTCCTTGTGTACCAGTTGAGAAACTGTAGGCTTACACGAACAAATGAGCAAGACAGTTAATATGGGATCTTCTCTCTTTTATTTTGATTCAGACCTTAAAAAAAAGTGAGGGCACAGATTTGGAATCTCCTCAAAACTGATCAGTGATCAGGGACCTCTTGTCGAATTCTCTGAGGGCACGGGCCAGGCATTTGCGGCCGAGACTAAGGAAGAACACAGGACAGAGGAGCTGAGCTTAGCACACTGGGCAGTGAGCGTTCCCAACTCACCAAGTCGCAACACAGATAAGGAAGAGAACCCATGTACATCAGGAATTTCATGGCTTCTGTTGGTTTGGGGAGGACTGATCCCGTGTGCAATATTTCGTAGTTAGCACAGTTCTGTATAATTAAGAATAATGGTAGTTCAGTGGTGTACATATATGCTCTTAGTACGTGTACCGAGCTCTATGCAGTCGCTTTAAAGTGATTTAACTGAAATGTGACTGCACTAGAAAGTATCAAATTCTTACTGAATCAGCAGAGTTGTTTCCAAAAACTATTATTACTTAAGAAATTTACAGAAAAAGCATTACAGGACACAGTTACCTGGATGAATGCATATTGTCTCTATCCCTGTGTCAATAACAAAAATATCTTTGACTGTAGCCTCTACTTTTAACCAACCCTACAATCTGTATACAAATCTGTTCTGACATATATTTTGAGCAGAGGTTAACCCTAGCTTGGTTTGGATGCCGGCACTGCACTGCAGAGGCCCAGTGGTAGCTTCCTAAGCTGCAGTGGCCCTCTCCCCCCGGCATGCTGAGCCAGGCACCCCACTCAGCGGGATGGAGGCTCAAGCAGGTCTGCCTTTGGTACAGCATCACTGTCTACACACAGCAAAACGGTCGATGGCATTTTGTTCCTTTAAAATTTTGTTTCTTTTTCTTCTTCCTAGATAATATCATCAAGAGGATATTTAATATTTTGAAATTTACCTGGGTCCTCTTTCTGGCAACAGTGGATAGTTTCACAACTTGGCTTAACTCCATTTCAAGGGAGCACATTGATATATCTACAGTTTTGAGAATTGAAAGATGCATGCTGACCAGAGAAATTAAAAAGGTAACACTATTGGAATAATTCTTCTTGCTTCTCCCCACATTATAAAGACTGTGAAAGTCAATATCCAGAATTCCAAGTAGAAAAAGATAAAATCCTTTCTTTCCAGACTATTTTTACATAACCCTTTTACTTTTCTGTATATTCATATTTGTTCCATGCTCAGAATTAAAATCAGACACTACACACACACACACACACACACACTCACACACTCACACACTCACACACTCAGAGTCCTGGGACAGTAGCCAGTTTATTCACTCTGTCCCCTCGCCTCATCGGAGTTTGCAGGTGCCCAGATTCCCATGTCTCATAAAGGATTATGTTGTTTAGTCTGAGAAGTTTGATCTAAAACTTCTCATAGGAAAAATTAGGATATATGCAGAGCAACAAAATGTAGTCATGTAAGGTTTATATATTATATTTAAAAATAATAGTTGGTTTCTGGAAAAGTTAGTATTATATACATACTTATCCATAGCTACAAACTTACAAGAAGAGATTTCTTTTTTTTAATTGTATTAAAAATATTTGACATATTATATTAGTTTCAGATGTACAACATGTCTTAGTATTTATATATATTATGAAATAAGTCTACTTAACATTCATTACCACACATAGTTTTTAATTTTTTCTTTCTTATACATTTTTAAGATTTACTCTTTTAGCAACTTTCAAATACAGTAGTCCCCCTTATCCATTGTTTCACTTTTTGTGGTTTACCCTTGGTCAACCATAATCCAAAAATATTAAATGGTAAAATTCCATAAACTACCAATTTATAAGTTTTTAATTGCACGCCATGCTGAGTAATGTGATGAAATCTGACACCATCCTTCTCCATCCCACCCAGGATGTGACTCCTCCCTTTGTCCAGCATCTCCACTCTGTATACACCCCCACCTGTCAGTCACTTAGTAGCCAGCTAGGTTGTCAGATCCACTGTGGCGGTATTACAAAGCTTGTGTCCAAGAAACCCTTATTTTACATAATAATGGCCCAAAGTGCAAGAGCAGTGATGCTGGAAATTCAAGTATGCCAAAGAGAAGCCATAAAGTGCTTACTTTAAATGAAAAGGTGAAAGTTACTGATTTAATAAGGAACAAAAATTATATACTGAGGTTGCTAAGACCTATAATAAACAACAAATTCTCTATTGGTAAAATTGTGAAGAAAGACAAAACACTCTGTCCTAGAATTTTGTTCTAGCTGAGAGAGAGAGAAAGAGACCATGTCCACATAACTTTTGTTACAGTATTCTGTTATAATTATTCTAATTTATTATTAGTTATTATTGCTAATCTCTTCAGTGTGCCTAATTTATAAATTAAAGTTTATGATAGGTATATATGTACAGGAAAAAACATAGTATATATAGGGTTCAGTACTGCCCACAGCTTCAGGTATCCACTGGGGGCCTTGAAATGTATCCCTTGTGGATAAGGAGGGACTCCCATATACAAGACATTTCTTGTTTAGCATTATCCAATAATATTGAGTACCATTAATTCAATGAGTTGACATCAATCTCCAACTTCACTAGCTTTGTGTTAATCTACTCAAGGTGTGCATGAGAGCTGAGAGTTGTCAGTATTGAGAGATGCCAGGTGGCCTCAGAGGCGAATAAGAACTGTGGCAATGTCTCCACTGCAGGGCAACGTCCCCACCCGGGAAAGCATCCACATGTACTATCAGAACCACATCATGAACCTTTCCAGGGAGTCTGGACTGGACGCAATTGACGATCATCCTGGTGCTGCTTCAGGTGCACAGACAGCCCACAGGATGGATAGCTTAGATTCACATGACAGTATCTCCAGGTATTTCATGTTCTAAACAGTGGGTTTAATTTTGACAAAGGTAAAAAGGTGGACTTCATCAATATGAGAAATGAATGTATAAGGTGAAGTTAATCAGAATTAACATGGGTCCCCACCTTCTTCAGGATATCTCCATATGTATGGAAAAGCTAAAGGAATGTTGTCTTCCCCTAGACTGAGCCAGATTAAATAAGGTATCAACTGAAAAAAACCTATTAGAAACATCTGTATGATTCATAGGCACAGGATAGTGGTTTCCAAACTGAAGGCAAGTAAGAATGAACTTTCCCAATGACAAAATTACAATTTGTGTCAAGAGGTGCATCTTTAACTCCATTTAAAGGTGCCACTCGACAAGTATCTTCTAGACCAGAATCTTCTTCCATCTGTTATCTTTGATCTTTTTATTTCAGAATTGTTACTTTATAATTCATAATAAAAGTCCAACAAGTGATTCTGTCAGCTTCCATCTTCTCTGAGTTGTGTGATCACAGGCATTGTCTCATAACATGCATTGATCATTCGCCATGGGCCAGCACCAAGTACTGTGTATGGGTTACCTCAGTTTATTCTATGAGATGCCTGATGTTATCATCCCCATTTTACAGAAGACAAAGTTCAGTTACAGAGAGGTTAAGTAACTTACCCCAAGTCACACAGCTCGAAAGTATATATAAGCAGACTCAGGATCTAAAACTATCTGGTTCAGCTCAAGAGCCCAGCCTTGCAACTACCATATGGTATGCTGTCTTTCATTACTTCTGCACTCCAGGCCAACTTTGAGAACTGACCTGCCTTTCTTACTGCCTATCCCAGCAAAGCCGATGCATTCTTTGCACCACAGTATTCTAGATAGCTGCTGTCAATTGTGTAGATCTAGCTTTCAAGTTAAGGCAGAAGTCCCGTCTTAGGAAGGAAATAACATGCCTAATGTAATTAGCTCCACTGAATGAATTACCCCTTATGTCCACCTTCATAGATAAAGAGTTGTATCCCTGAGGGTTGATTCTGGGATAGACACATAAAGATAAGTTATCTCTAAATGGTGTGAGCCTGGGAAGAATGACTTACCCACAGGATTATTTGTGGAATTCTGGGCTAAAATTCCTGCTGTATAGTGACATCAGAGATGGGCTGTATTCCCACTGTTGGTTTATTTATTTATTTATTTTTATCCTCACCCGAGGACATTTTTCCAATTTTTGTACAGATAGAGTGGGAGGGAGGGGGGGAGAGAGAGAGAGAGAGAGAGAGAGAGAGAGAGAGAGAGAAACATCGACGTGAAAGCGACACATCGAGTGGCTGCCACCCGCACGACCAACCAGGGCCGGGGACAAACTGCAACCAAAGTACGTGCCCTTTGTGGGAACCGAACCCGGGTCTCTCCGGACCACAGGCCAACGCTCTAACCGCTGAGCCAAACTGGCCAGGGCCCACTGTTGGTTTAGAAGGTCCTGGATTATTCTGTCATACTTCACATGCTGAGGAAGGCACCAGGTTCTAGTGCACTATTTGTCCTTTACAAATGCTGAATTTGGCCCAGACGGTGTGGCTCAGTGGATTGAGCATTACCCATGAACTGAGAGGTCCTGGTTCAATTCCAGGTCAGGGCACATGCCCAGGTTTCGGGCATGATCCCCAATAGGTGGTGCAGGAGGCAACTGATAGATGTTTCTCTCACATCAATGTTTCCATCTCTCCCTTCCTCTCTCTCTAAAAAAAATTAATAGAAACTTATTTTTTTTTAAATACTGAATTTTTTACAAGATGAAAGAGGGGAAGGAACTAAGACTATTTTATCAATACCGTGATACTGAACCCGAAATGGATAACTAGAAGTTGAAATAGCATCCTGAATGGGGAGACATGGGTAAAAAACTGCTTATTTTGAAGTGCTATTTTTAGCTGTTGCTGAATTGCTCTGTTTGAGCTTCTCCAATTGTGCCTGTTCTTTATTCTAATAATCTATTTAATGTAGATCTAAATTAATTGGTATGGAAAGATCATATATATAGTAAAAAAACAAAACTCAAATTTTAAAATAGTATATATCCTGCTCTAGTTGTGTGGCTTCCTTGTTTGAGTGTCATCCTGTACACCAAAAGGTTACAGGTTTGATGATTTCAGATAAGGGCACATACCTAGGTTGTGGGTTTGATCCCAGTCAGGGCATGCGTACTGGAGGCCATCGATGGATGTTTTTCGCATCAGTGTTCCTTCCTTCCTTCCTTCCTTCCTTCCTTCCTTCCTTCCTTCCTTCCTTCCTCCCTCCCTTCCTCCCTCCCTGTCTTTCTTTTCTTTTCTTTTCTTTCTTTCTCTCCCCGCTTCCTCTCTCTCTAAAATCAATAAAAACATATCCTCAGGTGAGGATAAAAAAATTGTATATATGCTAAAACCTCATTTTTATTTTTTAAAAATATATGTATTCATACATATATTGATTTAAATTTGATTTTTGTACAGATAAAATTCTTCATGTATATAACTCCTCCAGTCTCCTCAAAATAAGTATTGATTCTTTTAAAATCCTTTAAGTAATAGTAAAAGATATATTTTTCTTCTTTAATTTGGGAATAACATTCACTTATTTATAAGTTCCAAAGAAACGGATATATTTTAACTATTATCTATTTTTGTGAACAGAAGAAACACTTAGGACAGAAATGTAAGAATACAAATACTGTTTAAGATGCTTTTAATTCCTAGAATAAAATAATTGATTATTAGAACATTGTGCATGGTAATAAAACTTAATTTTTCATTCTTTTTCTACCCACGCATACACACATTTCTCAATAATTAATTTGTGAAACCACTGATAATATCTATTACAAAGTGAAAATGTCCTTGCATCAGGGAGTGCTGACAGCGCCTCCTTGTGTGTCTTCCAGAAAGCATCCCACAATCTGCATTTTTAAAAGGGAGCTTCATTCTCCTTTGACAGACTCCATTGAGACAAACAGTTATTGTTGTTTTTATTTTCTTTTGCTTTGTTTTGTTTTATTACAAACCATAAAAACTGTCCTATTTGGAAGCTACCAACCTTCTCAAATGTGTTCTTCTTGCAACAGCTCTCTCTATGTCTATAGATCAATTACTGAAACTGAATTAATTTATCTTTAATTCATTTTCATGCTAAAACTAAAAGTCTATTTTTACTCCCATTCTATACACACTCTTACATATTCCAAGTTATTTCATAGTAGCTATTCCTTTCGTAATAAAGGGAGACTGCATGAGATGTTTGCAGAAGCAGTCGGGTGTGACAGCAGTGGGGTGAGAAGGCAAGATTTGTCTTAATGTAGTGAGTATTCAAGATACTGACTAATGCTACTTCCCAGATACAGGGGAATGAAAATGAAATGGGGAATCTGAAGTTTCCAAATTCACCCACTTTATAACCTATTCATGACTAAACAACCATTTCTTAAATGACTTTAGAGAGAGAGAGGAAGGGAGAGGGAGAGAGAGAGAAACATCCATGTGAGAACATAATATCGATTGGCTGCCACCCATATGCACCCAGAATGGGGATTGAACCCTCAACCCAGGTATGTGCCCTGACCAGGAATTGAACCCCATGACCTTTCGGTGCATGGGAGAACACTCCACCAACTGAGCCACATAAGTCAGGGCCAAACAACTAGTTTTTAAAAATGGGAGAATGGAGAATTAAAATGCTGAGATACTCTACATATACATTTTCCAAAATATGTTTTGTTTATTTATTGATTGATGCATACCACATACAATTGCCCCACTACACTCAGCTTTGGACAGCACTGCTGTGCCTATATTGAATATGGACAAGGTCTGAGGCGAACTACATTTTCCTTTTTCTGAATTCCAAAATAAAAGGCTTCGATGGCTCTGGTTATCTTAACTGAACTTCATGTCTCTACTTATCTGGGAATATTTTCTCCCACAGAGTTAAGAATACAATTATGTACATGCATAGTATATAATTTTATTATTGCATATTTGCATCTGTTCTTCAAAAAATATGATGCCCCATAATGTGATTTATAATATTTTTCAAATTAAATTTTTTACCTCCCTCTTGCCTTGTTTCATAATACAGAGAATTTTTGTTGTTATGTTGATCCCTAAGCTTGGCAAGTAAAAGGGGAATGGATGGACTAACCTTTCTTCAGTAATTTGCAGTGACACTAACAGTCATTGGTAACATTTTCTCATGAACCTCTTTTGAAATTTTATGAAGCTGTGTGCTGTCTCCCAAAGCGAAAAGTACACAGAAGCCTCCCAAATATCATACATGAATGTGGCTTGAGAATACTGCTCCAGAACCAAATTCTAAATCAAAGAGAAAAACGAGAATATTAGAAAGTGAATTGAAAATAAATATCCATAAAATAAACATACGTAATTTCTGTATCAATAACTTTTAACTGCACAATAATTGACAATATATCCAATTAAGAAATTAACTAAAATTAAATATCATAATTTAAAAGGGATAAAAATAGAAAGAGAAGAAAAATAACCGTTTAAAATAAAATCAAATAACTGCACTTAAGTCTGACCCAAAATCACAAATATAAAACTGTATCCATAATTAAAAATTGTGAGGTAGAAGATATTTAAAGCCATGAATTGTCTTTTAACAAAGACTGTCCAAATATACCCCAAATTTAAAAACGATCAACCAAACAATAAATTTACTAGTAAGAAGTCAATACCTCTAAAATTAAATTTTATTTTTTATTATCAACCTAAAGAAAGGGGAGACGCAGTAGGGTCCATTATATCATTATGTCTGTCATTAGGAAATTAATTTGCATATTTGCCCTTTTATTAATGACTTAAGCTGCATTCCTAGTTTCTTTGCTTTAGAAAACTTTCAAATCTTCAATTATTTGTCTACACGAGAGTCTATAGTAAGCCATGCTGATTGCTGGAAGGGCAGTGATTTTTCCCTAGCAGGTATTCTAAGTAGAGAAGCTTGCTCTCTGTACCTGTGTCATTGGGCAGGGTCTTGC